TAATTATTATACGAATGCGGGCGACGAGCGCAGAGCAATGACTAGCACGTGGTAAGATACATTTTAAAACAAAGGTTAAATACAATATTAATATCAGAAAAGGAGACGATAAAATAAACAATACGGTCCACAACCACACAAAGACACAAAAAGATATACATTTAAACAAACACACGGAAAATGTAAACATGCATTATTGTCATTTTGGTTTACGCTCTCTTGAAATGGGCGTCTGAGACACATTCTCAGACTATGCTGTCGGCCTTGCTGACCTTCCTGGGCGCGGGCGGGGCGCCGCCCTCGAGCTGCGCGACGATGTCGTCCACGGCCCTGCCCTTGGTCTCGGGGATGGTGAGGCGGATGAAGACGACGCCCGCCGTGCAGCAGCCGGCGAAGAGCCAGAAGCAGCCCGCCGCGCCCAGGGCGTTGGACAGCGTGGAGAAGAACTTGGCCACCAGGAAGGCGAGCGTGAACAGGGCGCCGAGCCCCGCCTGCGAGGCCAGGGCGCGTAGGTGCGCGGGGAACACCTCGACGAGCAGCAGGAAGGGCGCGGGCCCGCTGCCCACGGCGTACATCAGGATGTAGAAGGAGAGGCAGACGACGGGCACCCAGCCGGGCATCAGGCCCGGCCAGCGGAAGCAGGCGCCCAGCAGCCCCAGCGCAGCTGCCATGCTGCCGTACGACGCGAACAGCAGCGGCAGGCGGCCCAGGCTGTCGGCCAGCCCGCAAGCCGCCACCGAGCCCAGCAGCTGCACGGCCGCCACCACCACGGAGGCCACGTCGGGCCGCAGCGTGCTGCCCGCCATGTCGAAGATGCTGTTGGCGTAGTTGAGGATGGCCGTGATGCCGGAGAACTGCTGCAGCGCGAGAAGGCCCAGGACGATGACGAGGGCGTGCCGCGAGCCGCGCGTCGCCACCAGGTCGCGCGCGTTGACGGTGCCGTGGCCGCCGCCGCCGTCCGCGTCGCTGCGCTTGACGGACGCCTTGAGCGTGCTGAGCTCGCCGTCGACGTCCCCGCGCCGCGGGTCGCGCAGCCACATGAACGAGTCCATGGCGCCGCGCTCGTCACCCCGGCTCAGCATGTACATGGGGGTCTCCGGCATGCAGAAGAAGAGCGCGAGGAACGCGACGGGGAAGGCGGCGCACAGCAGCGCCAGCGCGCTCCAGCCCACCTGCGCGCCCAGCGCGTACACGTACAGGATGCCAGCGTTGATGAAGAGCGGCATGTACGAGCCGAGCTGGCCGCGCAGCGCGTCCTCGACCACCTCGCCGACGTACATGGGGCACACGATGAGCACGCCGCCCATGCCCACGCCCAGGATCGCCCGCCCGGCCAGCACCGACATCAGGATGTTGTCGACGCCGCCGTCCTCGAGCATGACGGGCTCCGCCGATGTCGCGTTGACGGCGTCCTCCGCTTCCACGGCGACGGCGGCGTCCATGTCGCGCCAGAGCTGCGGCAGCAGCAGGATGAGCCAGCCGGCCGCGAGCGGCACGGCGACGAGCAGCGCCGACAGCCGACGGCCGAGGCGCTCCGTGAGCGGGCCGAAGAGCGCGGCGCCCACCAGCCCGGCGGGCCACACCACGGCCGCCACCCAGGACAGGGCCTCCTCGGAGCAGCCCAGCGCGCTGAGCCGCGGCCCCGCCACGGACGGCCAGCCGCACGCGCAGCCGAACGAGAAGGCGATCAGGTTCACTGCGGCAGACAAGACAAAAGGATGCGGCGTTCAACTCCCTGCGCAAAGCCTCCGGAACACACCGACACCACCACCAACACCGCCCGCCAACCCCCCGGGGGCGCTACTGCTCGGTTTGGCAAGAACGCCAAGTCCAATCCTCGCGTTCGGGACGGGACGGGTCGGGGCGGCCAGGGTGGTCACGGCCTCGGCACGGCGCCGCCGGTGCGCTGCCGCCGCGCTGCCAGTGCGGTTAGCGCCGGGGGAGCCATATATCGTGGAGGGTGCAGCGGTCTGGTCTGGTCTCACCCCCCTGGTTAGTCCCCCCCCCCCCACCCCTGCCCGACCCCTCGGTGCGCGGTGAATCACACGTGCGCACATACGTAGCGTGTCCGCGCGTTTGGCTGAGCCACGTCCGGCCCGTAACGTGCGTGGGGGGCCCAGCGCAGCCCAGGGGGGGCGGGCAGGAGGGACACACAAGGGGAGCATATCCTGGAAATTAATTTAAAGGGGGCACGACGGCGTCGCGCGCGCAGTTTTTGCCGACGTATGTTGAACGCGAGCTTTATGTGGGTCGCTAGCAGACTCGTTAGTCGCTTTTTAGGAGCTACCCTCTTTCCCCGCGCTGCTCCCCGACCTCCCCCCCCCCCCTCTCCCCTGGCTTGATTCGCGAAATTATGCTGGAATCTTTTCGCTGCCGGCGGGAAGCGGGATCGTTTTTTTGTTTTTGTTTTTCCGCGTTTTTTTTTTACATTATTCCCTCCGCGCTCAGAATGTTAATAGCCGCCGAGGTACCTGCGATGATTTTCCCAAGTGGAAATTATCTGCAGAGGGCTTCGCGGGGGACGGACAACGCTTTTTTGCCCTGAAGTCGTTGGTGGTATGGTGCAGGAGGGGGAATCAATGGACGAGTTACTCGGGCGCTGAGGGAGAAAGGGAGAAACACCGGAAAGAGCGTCTGGCAGGGCGGTCCCCCCGAACAAATCAGTGCCGTGTATTTCTTTGTCGGTTGGAAATGTGGCCAGAAGCCCGCGTCCTTACATTTTCTTTGGGAATGGAAACGTTGCACACCACGCCGCCGCCGCCCCCAAGGCTACCTCCTCCTCCTCCTCCTCCTCTTTGCTCTTCCTCGCGGACAAATCGACAAATCGTTTGGTGTGCCGGGTAAGGTACTCAAACGATCCCGGCGAGCGGAAGTTTCATAATAAACCCGGAAGAGAAAGAAATGGAACTGCTTGTATGAGAATCGGACCTGACGGTTTGGGACATCGGATAGCTGACTGGCTGCTGGGGATATATCGGACACGAGTCGCCAACCACCATGACAGCTTCTCATAATCTGCTCGGACAACCGTTTCCGACTTTGGCGCTTTTTGTTTCCGACGCCACTTTTGGAGTTTCCATCGGACTTTGGGGGGCTGGGGGGCGATAGATAGGATGAACTGATGCAGCAAACTTACCGACTATCGTCGCGACGAACTGTGGGCTCTTTCCCGGCAGCCAGGCCGGGTGCGGGCGGGGCTGCTCGTGGCTGGTCATGGCGACGAGGAAGAGGAGGAGGACGTCCTCGGAGACAGAGTCTGCTCTCGCGGCCGAACGCCGGCTCTGCTCTGCATCCGTCGGGGAGGCGTCGGGGGGCTTTATAGGCCGCCTGCCCTACCGCCAAGGACGGCGACGACGGCGACCTGGGCGCGAGGACGGAGGCCCCCGGTGGTCGATGACGTCGGCGCGTCGTCACGGAGCGTCGCGGCGCCGGCGACGAACCCGGCGCCTCGTCGGCGTCCCCGCGGCCGCCCATTCGCCCGCCCCCTACGCCCGGGATGACGCTCCGCCACCAGGCTGGCTGCGCGCGAGAGCACGCCGTCGCCGGGAGCACGCCGTCGGCCGCCAGGCGCCCAGGTGAACACCGGGAGCTGTCGGGAGGGGGGGGGGGCGGCAGCGAGATGAGGCGCAGTGCGCGGTGGTCCTCAAATAAAAAATGCAGAAGGAAGGTCAGGTTGGTCACCACGTGAAGGGCAATCAATACCCCCTGTAACTTTTACAAGAGAGAGTAGGATATACTACTGACTGTCAATGTTTTAGCCCTACCAGATGTATTTCAAAAGATTTGCCAAACTTCAGTCTCGTCGTGGTGCAGGCTATTGTACCTTTCGTTAGCTTTAGTGTTACGCAACAGTTAAGTCTTTCAGTTCAGATTCAATCATTTTGCCCGTACACGCTATACGCAACAGTAAGTAACTAACACTGAGTTTGATGAGCGTGGCTCGACTACAGCTACCCGTACTACGCGAAACTTAGCTGTGTGTGTGTGTGTGTGTGTGTGTGTGTGTGTGTGTATGTACTACGGCGTAATGACAGTAGCCAGATGCTCCGCAGATAAGGCAGAGCTTCACCCACCC